TGTGTGACGTTAAACACTTATTGATTATACAACAAAGCTGTTAATTTTAATGTCACTAAACACAACACTGTATCGCAGTGTATTGATTGTCTAGACATTGTTAACTTCATATAAAGCTTTTATGTAATATTACAATTTGCGTATGTTCATAAGACTGTTTTTAATAACAAAGTAAGTAGTAACGTGCAACTGTAATTAGCAACAGAAAAATTGCTACAAATTATTAGACGTTATGAGAAGCATCGGTGAACAGAAAATCTCTTTCAAATGAATCATTGGGAGCAAGACATGCAATCAACTGACACTTTGTTTAAAGATATTGTACTGCAATAAAATTGGATAACTAAAATACAGTATCTTTAATTCGGAAGGTGTGGCATACCTCTACAATCTAATAAGCATGATATAAATTTCAGTGCAACGGTTAATAATTATAACAAATAGCTGTATATTTTTGAGTAACTTAACATATACTATTATTATAAAGTATAATTTGTTTACGATTCATATATACCAAATATTTTTAATGTGTACCTTAAAATCTGCAAAATTACCTCTGGTTTCTGACTCTCCCTTACGTTAACAAACAAATTCTAGCATGAACACAGCTTTCATGCATAAGGTGATGAATACTCTTCACATTTTTTTTGTACTGTACACAGATTTAAATGCATACTTATAATATATATGTAGTAAAATATACTTAAGTCGATATCAAACTAACTGGGCACTGAGTAAATTACTATATAGAGCATCTCATATAGACAGTTACCTCACAAACACTATATACTAGAATCTTCCCAGTATAATCGTTAAGTGTCTGGTACTTTTGACATCGACTTTAAATCAAACTTACAATAAAGCAACAAATAAGAAGATAATACATATTATTTTAAGATATTTAATTTTTCAAGGATCGATATCACAGATTAATGTAAAAATGTAATCATGATAATAAAGTAAATAACTGTTGTTTCATTTTATTTGAGAAATCACAGATTTGAAAAGCAATCATGCGTATTTTTCATTTGGGACATTATTGTTTAAATATTAAATATCATATAAATATAAAATATAGCAGTACACCTGCAAAATGAAGGCATGCATATATTTCATCCATTAAAAACGTAAAAAAATACTTTCATTAAAACGACTAGAATTATTTTGTTAAGTATATTAAACGTTTTGTAAACATGGAACTTCAAATAAATGGTTTTTGATCTACGCCCGTTTGTACCTACGTAGATGTAGAAAAATTCCTCTTACTTCATAATATCCGTTAAATAATTAATAAAATTAAATTCATACGAAGTACGGTGGTCTTCTTCTGGTTGGAGTGCTAATGAGAATATCTTATTGTCCTTCCTATAAGAGAGAGGAGCTGATTTTCTTTACGTCAGCTTTATGATTATTGAGGATTCTAATTATTTCATATGATAGAGTATAAAATAAAAATAACAAACATGTGTATTCCGCCTGACCCCTCTACCTTTATTAGCTTATACATCATCACAGATAATACAAAAATATTTGATACACTTTTCATCTATCTAATTATGTACGCAATGAAAGTTCTTTTTGTACTGAGACAGTGTAATCCAAAAGGTGAAAAATGCGATCGGATAGTGTTCGATGTATGTCAATTTCAAATGTTATCACAAATCTCTTTGAAAATGTTCTTGTCATATATGTCGTTATATATATATACATATACATATTACAATAAAAAAAGAAAAAACCTAAATCAGTACTAGTAACTTATGATTCGAATTGTAAAGATGGTAACGTCTATTGCACTTAAAACGTAACGACTCTGTTTTAAATAATTACCTTCTAGATTTTAAGTCAACAGTTTCATTTCTATGAACTATACATTATAGTCTACACTGCAGGAGAAATTAGAAACAATAACATCTTACGTGTCCCCGCTAAGGAAAAGAAATGAAAATAATTCTTCTTCGTTTCAAAATAAAATAACTTTATCACTCTGTGTATTGTGTCCTACATTGATACAATTAATACAAGAATTTTTCTTATCTGCGACTTACAGAAACGTTTTGTTATATTTTATAATAATCCTTCGTAAATCGTTCTTCTAAAGTTTTGCTTTGCGTACCTTGAATGTTGCTCCTAAACAAAAATGGTCACTGCCAACCGCGAAGTTCGGTATAGTGGGCAAAGTGTCGCATTCTTCGACGGTCGGCAACCGGTATCTCTCTAACGGCTCTAAATTACTATAAAAAATGTAGTCAACTGTAATCCACGTCCCTTGGTTAGTTGTAGCTTCCCATTTCCCTTGATGATTCTGATGTTTATATACACTGGAGAAGTGGAATGGATGCGTGAGGGTACCAGAAGAGAAGTTTGCCTGACAACCACGCACAACTTCTATCACCTGACGGTCTAATGTGTCAGCGTTCACTTCGCTGCAGGTAGTTAAATTATTATCTGATAAATTTTCTTCTAAATTCGGCCGCTCGCTATTTTCTAACTGTAAACAACACCAATCAATGTTCACAAACCATCAACTCCAATCTTAAAAAGAAGAATATTAACTTACTAGAAAGTCAAAAATGTTAAAAAAGCATTACCATTACTGTAGGAGAGCCTTTTCCCCGTAACCGTTTTTTTAATATATTAAAATGTTGGCAGTTATCCGTGATACAGAGTCGAGGTGGGATCAAAGAATTCGAGAGGGATCGAAATTGCGTGTGCTCAAGATTTTTTCCTTTTCCTTGGTATTCAAACATTCCGTCCGTAATGAATCTGTACACTCCAGAATATGGTATTAAATTGAAATCCCCTGACAGTATGATTGGTAAGTATTTAGCGCCTGTCCTATGTAATAATTCAAACAAATGGTTAACTATAGTTTCCAGTGTACGTTGTATGGTACAAAACATATTTTATGTAACCAAGAAGAATGAAGTGTGTTGTCACTTACAATGTATTCCCTAGGAATGCTATCCTTTCAATTTCTGCTAGGAGGAGCTGTGTCTGTCCCAGTCTCACGTCATTTCGTTTGGGATTATAAAGTAAATGAGTTGTGGCGATCACCAACTGTGTCTCAGGGCTATCCTTAACCGCCAATTTCGCGATGATCCCAACATTGTCTCTGCTCAATAGCTCTATGCCAGACTGGTAGAGCTCAACTTTCGCATAGTCCAACAGAATAAATTGGTCGGACCGATAAAGAAAAAGTAAGCCATCTTTCTTGTCATTTGTTCTCTTCTTGTAGATATAATTGTACCCCAGTTCTGTGAACGGGACCAGAAACTCTTGCAAATGATCCTCTTGCATCTCTTGAAGGCATATCACCTAAAACAGAATTCAATTGTACAACTGAACGCCTCGACTGCTTTCACATGGAAAAAGCCGAATAATCAACACGTTAAATGCCATGGGGGTCACCGGTGAACCAAATCAAATTACTATAGTTCACTCAGTTAGACTATGACTATTTGAAAAGATTTGTACATTGTGAATAATGCAATTCAGTCGAATGATTTAACATTATATATTTTGCTCTATGAAATCCTGCAGCATTCAACATATTAAGATCACAAATTGTTCAGTCCATTATCACAGATAAACTCATTAGCACAGAATCTTGCACCTTTCAGACCATTTAAACTGAAGTATTACAAACATCTCAGTTATGTCACGTTTCTACATCATCAACACGTTGAATGCCGTACGGTTTCACCGAACAAAGTACACAAAACGAGAAGATATCAAATAATTTCACTGAATTGCATTATCGTTATCTCATTTTTATCTCACCGAATGTCACTGCCTCCCATTATTTACAATACAGAGAATCTGTCAAACGATCATCGTCCAATCAAATGAACCATAGTAATCCGATCTGACCACCGGTGGCCGCAGCATTTCACACGCCGAAAGCCACAACGGCGAAAGCCAACGATCGCTCGCGAGAACTAACATTAGCCTGCGCTCCTAGAATCTCTTGCAAGAGAAGCTGCCTCCTAATCTTCCAAGATAGTGCCCGTTTGTCGTGACCCTTGTACAGAAACGGATAAGTGTCCAGCAGACACTGCGCCAAAATGTTGAACGAGAGCAGTCTCACGATGAAGAACTCCTCGGAATTAGAGGCCAGCTTCTCTGGAAGAAGTACACGATCAGTATCATCCGCCATCCTCTCAGCGACGATCGGGCTTACCTTTTTTGATCAGCGTCCACTGTCTCATCGTCTTATAGTTCTGCCTGTCCGCCTTATACTTATCTTTCAAAGACATCGTCACGTCCTCGCACGGGTCGTCGGCGGTGCCGACGGTCTGCGGGTCGGCGTCGCACTCTAAATTTTCGCTCGAGAAGTTGATCGGCGTGTCGCAGCTGTTATTGTAGTACGTCTCGAGAAACGTCTCCATCGATGCCTGATTGAATTTCGATTGCACGACGGTGCTCGCCACGGTTTCCATCAAGTTGCAGCGGGTGGTCGTCGTCGTCGTCGTGGTGGTCGTCGTCGGTGTTCGAGATAACGGGACGGTCTTGGAAAGGTTTCTCAAAAACGCTTGTTTCGTTGCTACTCCGGGTATGCGAGGGGTCGGAGACGGGACGATATCATGGTAAGAACTCTGCAAGCACAACGAAATTAACGAAACCGTCGAAGCCGCCGCGCGAACGTATACACAGTAGGATTAACGGATTCGAACTACCAACGGCCGGGAACAAATGCGGATCAATTACGGGGAAAAATGTTTCGCATATTATATAACAGATAATAATTTCAGAACGACCGTTGACTTCTCATCAGCCGAATGGCTCTGTGCTCCAATGCATGCGGAATATTCAATGCATTCATATGATAATCCACATTACAATTAGCCTTATGTAAGAACGCTCGTGCGTCGCGCGGACAATATTCCCCGATAAGATGTACTTTCGACGCTCTCTCCCTCTTCTGAAGTTTCATTTACCATGTCGTTAATGTTCGTAGTTGTTCGTAGTTGCCAGCGTACCTAAGCGACTCGGACAACATGTGGAGGAAAAGACAGGCAGCCTATCTAGCATAGCAGCGGCGAGATTAACCGCAGCTACCGAACGACGAACGTGCACACCTGGGATAGGCAACGATACTCGATGGAACGTGATTTATCTGGACTATGTTTACCGTGTTTCATCGAGCCTATCGTTTACAGAAAGCTGTTGCTAGACCATCCTTCGTAGAGCTACGCGCTGTCGTCGCAGTCAATCCGCTAGCGTATCCTCTTGTTCAATGGTACCGGCTGATACCGAACTCTCCCGTGAAACGACGCGAATTCCTCGCGACAGTTTGGTAGGAATGAACTTTACGATGTTTAAGAACTTCAATGGAACCGTGTTAGATTTTAAGAACAACGCCCGCGTCGACGGGAACGCCGAAAATGTCCGCTGATAGATCGATGACTATCTGTGGTCGGCGAGCGGCCGCGTAAGTTTGCTCTTTTTCCTGTTACTGCTTCCTTCCAGCGAATATCAACCGAGCTACTCCGCGATGTTAACGTAAACATCGGTACTTACATTAATATTCTAGCTTATTTCGTATTCCCAACTGTAATTGCTCGGGACTTTTTCCTCGGTAACTCTGTATTATTACGATTTTTTACTTGTGATGCATGTTAAAGGATAGGTAATCTGTGGATAGCGGTGTAAGCGATTCTTCTTAGTAACAATACTGAAAGTAACATGATAATATAATCTCTTGTGAAAATGACCTACCCCTTGATCTTTTCTTTTGATTACCGAAGAGGTACGAGTATCTCTTTGAGAAATTACTGAAGATTACCCACGCTGAAATTGAAACCAATTCAAATCTTAATACGTTCGTAGTTTTTATAATGAAATTTTCAAAAGTCGGTTTGAGTGCTCGGTAGTTCTAGTGTGAACTCTTTCGTACAGTAAAACTATAAAATTTGATATTTAGTATTATGCTACGTGTAATGCATCAATTTGAGAAATTTTCACATAAAACAGCCTTGTTCCCCAATTTACGTGTTGTTTCTCTTCAAGTTAGTTTCAGGAAATGCCTTGATTAGGTGTAATTTATCCTAGCCAGCGTGTCTGACCAGCGCTTGCCATTTCTACTTATAATCAAAATATATTTATTTCAATGCATTGTTAACGTTAGAACTACCAAGCACTTAAACGGATTTTCTCGAGTTCCTCTATTCATTAAGATTTCAATTGTGAATCAGCTTCTTTAACGATTTAACGATTTCTCAGAGGAGCATTTGTACCTTTCCACTAATTACAGAAGAAAGCAAGAATGAGTCATTGTGAGCCATCTGGTAGTTCTAGTGTTAATTGCGTTTGTTTTTTAATGATGCTATTGTCTTATAAATTATACCTTTGCATGGATAATTATTGGACATTGTTATTATTCCATCCACCCTTGCGAAAGTGGAAATGGTCGGTAATGGTCAGACACTGGATTGGAATGTTATTGGAATGGAATTCAATTTTCTTGAAAATTGCAGACGTCCAATTGATATTAACCTTCGTCGTGATTAACGTGTTATGAAAAATATTGAATGAGGACATACATCTTACGCAGAAATATTGTTTACCGCGCATTCTTCTCCTACACGCATGCACGAAAAGATAACGAGAACAATGATTATCAATCTTTATAGCCAATGTGAACTTAAGGTTGAGTATGCGTCGAGATTCGTCGAACTCAAACTGTAGAGCCAAGGACGTGCGAGTTGAATTTTTAACACGTCGAATGCTACGGGGTCACCGGTGACCCCTGCCTAAATTCGATCACCGTAATTCCCTCAATTAACCCTTTGCACTAGGAAGTTTTTCACTAGAAATACTTCAACATCTTCCGATGAGACAAAGACGATATTTCGTGAAACAAACTCGAAGAGAAATACAATTGGATTAGAAAATTTGATTGCAAATACACTAAATGTGTCTCGAACGTAATAGATGAATCGTTCAAACGTCTGACTATATAATTACTGCGATTTGTTTGAGATCGGGACACGTCCTCTAGAACTCACGCCTTTTTTTTCTCATTAATTACATATAATTTTTATTGAAATGTCGATTTTCAGATTCTTGGGATGAATTAAGTAAGACATAATTGTGAATGGTCCATTAGATTCGACAAATAAAATGATTAAGTATTATACAATGATTATAGTAATTATTATATAGTACTTGTAATTGGTTTAACATATTAATTTGAAACCTATGACTTTATATGTGATTCAAGTTGTTTAGTTTTCAATAGCACAGAAGCATTTCTAAACAGTCAACTTTGGCAGAAATCAATTTTGTATTCTTATTAATGAAATTGATAAATTGATAAATTTAATAACATTTTCTGTTATTATTAATGCCAAGCAATTCCAAACATAAAGCTAATATGTGTACTTATTTTATAGGTAGCGTTACATTTGATTGACTTATTAGTTAAGATCATTAGAAATTACAAAATATAAATTTCACTTTGCCTAGATAAGTAAGTCTATAAAGTAATCAATTTATATAAATGTCTAACTCATTAATGTCTTTATGTAAAAGTTATAGAGTCAATATTGCTCTCATAGCATTGTATTGTTCACCTTAGTGGTATAAAGTGTTCATCATCTTAAAAAACCAAATCTTTTCTAAATATCAATAGCTGTCATTTTGCTAGTCTTTACTATAATTGTAAATATTAAAACTCATAAAAAAGATCAATTTTTCAATTTTATTTTCTATAATTCTACAAATTTTCTAATATTAAAAAGTAAATATTAAAATAGAAATGCTTTTAACAATATTCTCTGCAAAAGCAAACACTATAATCGAGATTTTAAACATTTTTATTTTTCCAAACGTATTAAAATTTACTATTAGTAATCATAACCTTTCTTAAAGCATACTTTGTTGTACAATATTCATAACGTGTTAATACTACGATTAAAATTACTGACATTAGAGAGAAATAAAGTCCTACGTATTCGATTATATAATACTGTACATGAAAAGATTAAAACTCAACATAATTAATGTTTTCTGAAACTAATTACTCAGAAATGCCTTTAACCTAAGTTTCCAAACGCAGTCTTTAGATAAGTCATTGTAACATGCTTGTAATTTACAAAATATAACGCATAGTATGAAAGCAATTATGTATATGTCTAATAATTTTAGTTTCAGATCTATCATTGGTTTTTTATACTAAAAAATGACACTTAAATTTGGTAATAATGAATTCTGATAATTTTATTAAATTATACTATTATTAGTTTTCTATATATTCAATTTCTTTATTTAATTACATACCGGTATAATTTTACATTAATATTAGATATTACATTTTTATTACTTCCATTATTATTCATAGTGCTATTTGCATTAATACAATATACATATATATTAATCATGTGTGATTCCATTATCTGAGCATGCAGCATTTTTTTTAAACGAGTTTACAGGATTATCATGAGAGATTGAAAAACTACTTAGATTGTAAATATATTATGTATACATTGTATAAAACAACAAAACTTTTAAATATACATCAATCTCAAATTTGCAAAACCATCGCTCGCTATGAAATTGCAAATATTTGCAATGTAGAAATCAAAATGACAAACATAAAACGTAACATCTATACTGTCAGTGTTTGGTGTATATAAATTTCCTGAATTACTCAAAAAATTATTATATCAATGTCGTTGCGCAACGTAGAATCTCACATGATAAATAAAAACAAAATAAAAATCAAATAATTAACGATTACCTTAGCTTCACGATGGTGGAGTTTAAAGGAGATGTCAAGACTCGCAGTGTGAATTTTCCGTAACAACCTACTTGCTGTATTCATTTATTTACAAAGCAGTAGAGATATTAATACATGACTGTACGCAGGTGCATAGGTTAGGTTATGTCACCCGTTGTCAGTAAAGGTAGGAACATCCCTGTAGCCAAACACAGATAACGTCGTCACTATGCACAATAGGCAATTGATACAATTATCTATTATCAAATTTTGTAGTTATACGATTCGGCACAACGATTATATTTTCACAGTTACCTTCCAAACAAACAAATGTCACACCAGACAACATCACTTACATATTCATAAAAAAAATTGTATACTTTGTTACCGATAAATTTATTACCGAAACAATGTAACTTAAAAGAAGCGTTCAATAATTATCCATTCTGTATCTACGAATTTTACATGATCCTTTTAAATGAATATTTATAACTTTTTGTGATAAAACCCTAATTACTCAATAAACTTTTTTTATTGAAATAAGAAAGAATTTTTTGACTTTGAAGATTGTAATTGGTATTATAAATCACTGTAGTGTAGACAATCAAACCTACTTAAATCAAAGTATTAGGGTCTAATAATAATTAACATTATTTATTTTTTAAGTATATTGTAATTTATTAGCAACCAAGCTCTTAATTCGTAATGATAGACTTATACTTAAAAATCAGATACTATTTTATATTATAATATATATTTTTTTTTACTAGAATTATCAATGTTATTGATACTAAAAAGAAACATGTAAAATATATTATACACATCTTTTCGAATAAACAATGCAATTATATAGGGAAAATTGAATGGTTACAAATTAACTCTTTTGTAGCAAAGAATTGTATACCTTTCTGAATCGATATAATTTTCATTAAAATATTATCACAGTAATACGTATATACTTTATTCATTGTATATTGTATTAATTAATTTTTATCGAATCACTGAACCGAGTATACTGATGGAAAACATAAATACTAATTTTAGTAATTCGAGAACAGTTATAAATTACGCATATTTCACTATTGTTATAACAATAAGCTCGCTTCGTATAGTTTCGAATTAGAGTTTTTATTTTCTAAAAATATTTTTCAACACGTTTTGCGAGCAACCTAATTACATTACATAAAAAAAACATTATTTAATATTAATTACAATTTGAAACGAGCGAAGCATATTGACCAATAATGCTTTTGTTCTGTTGAAATATTATTATTACAAAATTCCCTGTACATGTAAATTAACTAAAGGAAGAACAATTTCTATGAAAACTTTCGTCGCTACATACTTGATTTAAAGTCCTTTGATTAGAAACAAAATTTTAATCAAAACTATTTTTGAAATAGTAACTTCTAAGATTTAAAAAAAGACCATAATCTGTTTGGTATTAACATGCAGTACATAAACGTAGATTATCGACATAATTGATGAGAAATAAAAAATAATAGAAAAATTACATGCTAAGATAGCCACGAGCTTGGTTTCGTCGGCGTCCAATCAAGTACGCGAGTAAAACTAGGGTTACTAATCCTGTGAGTATACAACCTACTGCTATCGGTACAACGTCAGGTGTGTCGAAAGCGCAATCCTTAGCTGAAACATGAAAAGGTTAGTGAAACTAGTATTTACAACAACTGAACATTACTGTTTAACAAGGAATTGTATAGGATATGCCAATTAATACGATCATTATTGTTGTTTTCAATGATACAATTAAATTAAATAAAAAAAAAATGTAAACAAAGAAGAGGTAAATATCGCAATCAAAGAAGTATCTCAGTTCAATCGCGCTAACATTTATATTACGTTAAATATGACATTTTTAAAAGACATTTCACATTGTACGTATCTTTACCTCGAATCCTCTTTGAAAATTCAATTATCTCTTTCAGGCATAACAAAAACTATTTTTTAAAACTTACCTAAACCAAAAGTAGTGGATTTATCAGTTTTGAATGCTTGGAATTGTAACCCTGATAATGTTACAAATCCAGGTTCTTGTTTAGTACCATTCAATTTTAAGTTTACCCTTTGCTCCTTTAAGCATCTATAGGAATTTGTTAATTCAGCTACATAATTAGACGCTTCGTGTACTAGAACCATGGATCCATCTGATAAAAATAATATATTTATTAAATAAGAAATTGTATGTAACAGTAATTAGTAAAGTATAGTGTTCATTTCATATCAATTTGTAAAGAGATCGAAAAATCTTACTGAATGTTGTGTTTGGAAAATCTGTTGATGGTAAGATGACCTCCAAATGGTGAAGAGAATAATGGTTTGTACTTTCGTTTTTCACAAAGTGTAGTGTCATATTAGCATTATTTTCATTTTTAGAGGACCACATCAAGGTGATCACTTGCTCAAGTTTGCCACAGTTTCCACTTGCTCTTGTAGTTATATTGTCACTCGGCATATCAAATATTTTATAGGAAACCTATAATATTGTATCTATTAATGTTATTATTGTACCTTTTAAAATACTATTATCTATTATTTCATTCTTAATAACTTTACTAAATTTTATTCCAACACAACTAAGTAGATTCTTTCCAAATACACACCGTTCTGTTCCCCGTTGGATAAGTAACATTGAACCGTGCTGACATTTGTACAACAATGCATACTTCAGTTGTTCCATTTACTATCCATTTGCCAGGATTTTCAGGAGGTAATGGTGTAGTAGTCACTGGTTGAACTGTAGTAGTTGGAATAGTTGGAGTGGTCGAAGTAGTACTACTTGTAGTGGTTGGAGTAGTTGTACTAGTTGTAGTTGTAGGAGTAGTCGTACTAGTTGTAGTGGTTGGAGTAGTTGTACTAGTTGTAGTGGTTGGAACAGTTGTACTAGTTGTTGTGGTAGGAACAGTTGTACTATCTGGTGGCAATGTAGTTGTGGGAGTTTCAGTAGGATTTGTATGTTCCTGTGATTGTATGTTTTTCTCGCCATTAACTGAGGACTCCAACACAGGTGCATCACGCTGTATTATCGCATTTAATACATTTCTTTTGGAACTCTGTGTATCATCATTCTTTTGAGGCAAGGCGACATTAGGTACTGTTGTAGAAAGAAAGTATATTGTTAGAAAAGAAATATTTTCAGAATTTTTCGTAAAATAGAGAAATTTAATCAAATTTATTAATGGAATTTAAAATAAAGAATCAAAAGTAACAGACAAAATCAATTGTTACAGTAATAAATAAAGTGGGATATGTTTATATAATAAAAGATCTCAACTTAGATCCTTTATGGTGCACTTAAAGTAAATTATATTCCTTAGCTTTTAAAACAATGTTTCTAAAGTAGAGAAATTAATATTAAATAAAAATATCTTGTATAGTATCTTATTAAACATATCTTTAAAAAAAATCATTATAAATAAGTATACCATTATGTTAAAAAAAAATGAAGGTAACCTTGGAATTTTCCCCACTACTACACCAATAGAAACATTACATACACTATGCTATCTCCCCTTTCAAACTAAACATTTTTCTAAGAACAATTATTTCACATTCTTTTCAAAAAACTTGACCATTCTTAAAAATTTATACATACTATGCATATACCATTTGTGTTACTGCTTAATATCAATATCGAATTAATTCAAAAAATATAGTTTCTTTGTTAAATATATGATACTTGGAAAAAGAACTATATTCCTTACTTATTCAAACAAAAATTGTGACACAGATAAATAACAAATTGTATAATTTATTAATACTAATGTAAAATCAAAGTAAAATGAATGTTTTAAAAAATTTCGTTATGAATCATCTAGTTGTAAATATTCGTAAACTTTTGTTTCTTTACAATTATAGAGTTTTAATATAAATCAACGGATCGTGTAACGTACAGATGATGTAGTTGTAAAATAACATAGGGAAAGATAAGGAGACTATAATTAATCGAAAAAAAGACAGAATATACAGAATTGAAATACTCTGACAAAAGAAATTATCGTACATTCTTAAAGGCAACGCGAATAAAAATTATTTCATATTCCATTATATCGATGAGCTTAACTGTCATTCGCGAGAAGGATCAATTTTCTAAACGTTTGAAATATCATACCCAAAACGTGAAGCGTTGTAAAGCAGAGGAGTAGGAAAAACTTCGACATCATCGTGAATTCCAGTTCGCTGGAAATAAGCAGAAATCACCAAAAGTTTCGACGTTGTAATTATTGAGGGAATCAGAACTGGGTTATAAATTCAGAGAATATGTGGAAATTCGTCGCGTATGACATAAAATGTAAGGAAGTTCAATGAAACTCCGTTCTCTTAAAATGTCGTTCACAAATGCACTTTGCCTCGACTCGTAGACCGAGGATGAGAATACTTTTCCATCCCACTCTGACTACTGAAAGTCACCAATGAAATTGAACGTTCTTTCTTATATCATGATACTCGATGACAGGCGCATACTGTTGACGTCGCTTGTAATGGGGATACTAATTAATTTATCGAGTTTATAATTTAAGCATAAATGAGAAAAAAAATCATGTAAAAAACTGTCATGAAAATGATTATAATCATAAACAAATTTCATTCTGTATCTATCATTGTCCCCAGAAATTACAAGTACCGGTGGTATATAACGCTGCCATCTGTACCACGAAATATCGTACTATAGATGGGAGTACTACTTTTCATAAAATATATCGGATGTTTGGAACAGAAGTTCAGTGATGAGCTTTGTCGTTATTATCTTTTCTTGTAACTAATAGAATAAACAGTGTTACTGAAAAATCATATGAATAATTATAATTCATTCATAATTCATGAAATTCATGTAGTTGACCGTACTTCCCTTACATCCATTAATAGATGACTTGAGTTATAAACGGGTACTTTGTTTTTAGCTATCAGATCTTGTATTTCCATTTTTCTCAAATAAAACTTACAAAATCCTGTCACCTAAAACAAGTTTACTAATAAAGGCCCGTTTAAGCCAATTTTTAAATATATTGAAATAAATTTAACTGCGAATTCAATTTGTAATAAATGTTTTCTTATCGCATTCATTGCTTCCATATAACTCAAAGATACATGTAGCATAGAACGAGTTATTAAATATAATTAATTTTCGCTCGAATGCTTTAATTAAATATATCCAATCCAAATTAGTACTTAAAATGTAAAAGAATAGGTTACATCAGTAAAACACTGTGTAGCATAGACAGGCGAAGAAGCTTAGATTCTATTTTTTATCTTTACATATTTGTGTGATGTATTAAACGTATATTATTTATAAAACGTAGAAACTTGTTTTATTCATTGGTTCGGTTCTATTTTTAAGAGGTAAGAGTATATACTTGACGTTATAATATGTTATGGAATAATCTGCCATAAGTTAACCTAATTTACGATATATCTATAAATGCATTGCAGTTTTTATGTTAATCATATTGATATTTTAATTTAGGCGCAGTAATTCTAAAATAAGTCTCCGTCATATTCATAATTCTGTATGTTTACTATGTTTAGAAAGCACAATAAATATTTATTTTACAAAACGTATAACATTTTGAGTATTAGCAGTTTCACAAAATATGACAAAATACGTAAATAATGAAATGTTCTATTCTGTGAATAACTATAATTAACAACAAATTTCATGAGTTAAACTTGTATAAAATTAATTTAAAAGTAATTTTATTTTCAGGTAAGAAATTCCTTAATTTGTTATGTTTATTTAATTTTGTTATATTAGCAAAATATAACCATTAGTACACATTAAATTATGAGTGATATTATTAATGTTGATTTTTATGTTTAACCATGTCATTTCTATGCTTTATCTTATATATTTTTAAATTTATTTAAGTATATAAACAAAATTCTATAACTACTTTATTTCGTAGACATAATGGAGTCTGATTATGATGAAAACCATGGTGGTTGGACGGATGAAATGGCTAGAACGAATGAAGATTGTGGTGGAGAAGACAGTTTCGATAATCCTCAAGAAATTTTAAATGAATGTTTAGATAAATTTAAGACTCCAGATTATATCATGGAACCTGGTATTTTCATGCAACTTAAGAGGTAAAGTATATTTTAAAAATGGTACAATTTATATGTTTTGGAAAATTTTAACTTTATACATAAAAGAATTTAACTTTCTTTATAGTTCTGGTTTTTATATCATTATAAAATGGGACAGTTTGTATGTTCTATAACATTGTATAGTTAATTATATTTAATACATTTTATATTGCTTTCATCATGACGTGAATGGTGTGAATTTTATTTCATTTTTTAGATACTTCCAAGCGGGTGGCAATCCTGAGCAAGTTATAGAATTATTATCAAAAAATTACACTGCTTGTGCTCAAATGGCAAATCTCCTTGCAGAATGGCTCATTCTTGCTGGAGTGAAAGTTTCAGACGTTCAAGCAATGGTAGAAAATAATTTGAAGGATATGATATTGAAAACTTTTGATCCAAAAAAAGCAGATAAAATCTTTACGGAGGAGGGTGAAGTATGTCCATTAAATTATACAAATATTTAATATTATAGGTATTGAAGTTACCATTACCTGCTAATTACCTAAAATTGATCTCTTTCATATTAGACTCCTGCCTGGTTAACAGAAATGATTCAACATCCCACCTGGAGATCTCTTATTTATAGGCTTGCAGAAGAATATCCTGATTGTTTAATGTTGAACTTTACTATAAAGGTATAAATTGGTATTAACTTAAAACTATATTTCATCCTTACATTTGAATTACTTCTTTTTATTTTTATCATAGCTTATATCCGATGCGGGATTTCAAGGTGAAATTACGAGCATCTCAACAGCAGCTCAACAAATCGAAGTATTTTCACGTGTTTTAAAAACTGCGATCGCTGGATTTTTACAAAATACAGAAGACTGGCAGTCTAGTATACAAGAGTGTGCGGTTAGTAATATGTTCACGTCAAATAACGTATAATCGAAGTTCGGTGATTTTACAAAAATGTCTAGATTTAATTTTTCTGTTAGTAGAAAATGGTATGTCACGGGCAACATACTTATGTCTACAGTCAAGTATTACTACAAATTCTTGCACAAGAATCACGTGGTGGATTTATGATGAAAAGGCTTTCTCAAGAAATCACAAAATGTGCTCAACAAAAGTAAGAAGAAACAATTTAATATGTTACATTGATTAATATAGGTAATGCCAAAGTAAGACTATTGGTGTCTGCCAGTTTGCTAGAGTTTGTTTTAAATTGTAAGAGGTGTACTGCAACATTGCACATTTCCATTAACGCTTTTTAATTTTTAGTCATCACGATGTTACTCCAATAACAATGGCACTGAATGGAGCTTCTAGTAGTCCAAGCGCGTGTCAAGCATTGGCATCTATGTTATCACGGAATACTTTAAATCCTGCTGATATCAGCGTATTATTTCGAAATTATTCTACAGCAGAACCACCTCCAATAGAATTACTTCGTAATCCACAATTTTTAGGTAAGAATATAAATTTGTTAAGTCAAGAAATATTTCCTGTTTAATGAAATATGATCAACATTTACTACAAGTTTTTAATTCATTATTGATTGCAGAATTATTAGTTGATGCGCTTTTCAAACCAGGGGTCAAAATTAATCCTGAACACAAATCAAAGTATATTTATTTATTGGCTTATGCAGCTAGTGTATGTGACATTCCAGCTAAAAAAGGACATCCACGTAAATTAAATAAAGATGAATTGAAGACAACTATTCAAGCCATTGAAAAAGTTCATAATGTTTGTAATATTAATAAAGGATCCACAGAATTGGTAGCCGAATTACATACCTTATATCAATGCATAAGGTATGATTTATAAAGAATACTAATATATTACTATTATCTGTAGCATGATATTTTTTTAATTTAATACTTTTGGTTAGATTTCCTGTTGTAAGTGTAGGTGTAATTAGGTGGGTAGAATGTACCGTGACAGAACCATCGTACTTCAAATTATGCACAGAACATTGTCCTGTACATCTTGCATTACTGGATGAAGTTGTTGTCTGCCATCCACTATTACATCCGAAAGTGTTGCAACTCCTTGTTCAGTTATTTGAAAGTAAACAAGATGAACTAGAGATACTTGTACAGGTATGAACATCTAACAGTTTTCAAATAAACTACTACTTATTATTAATATTTATTATATATAGTAATTATATGATAATAGTTGATGCTAATAAAAATTTTTTACGTTAATATTGTACAGTTGGAAATGAAAAAAATGTTAATCGATAGAATGGTGAATCTATTGAGTAAAGGCTGTGTGGTACCTGTGGTGTGTTATATAAAGCAATGTTGGCAACGAGGAGACACAGATGTTTCCTTAATTAGATACTTTGTTACAGAGGTACAAATCTCTTTATCATTAATGTGTATGAAACGAATTACTTAAATCTAAGAAAAAACATTGTTATCACTAGGTCTTAGAAGCAATTGCTCCGCCGTACACAACTGAATTTGTTCATTTATTTTTACCTATGGTAGAAGATGAAGAAATTACAGGAACAATGCGTGGTGATAGTGATAACGATCTCGTTTCAGAATTTATTGGTAAGTATTATTCACTATCTTCATAAATTACAAAATAAAATTACTTCCACAGAAATCTATATATACACGTCTATATAACATTTAACCTATTTTTCAGTACATTGTAAAGCACATTGCCCCACTGTAAGGTGATGCATCTTAATCAATAAAGGTAGGTTGAATTGGAAAAAGAACTTGCAACTTTAAAACAAGTATGTTTACTTCAGAGGAGCATGTGTGGAATTATACATAAATTACTACTGTATTAAACTTTTCTCTTTCTTCTTTCATGTATAATGTATATGGATGTGTGAACCTAGTGAAAGGATGACTTCCTCTCATCTGTGATATCCCGATTTAGA